ATCACTTGCACTCGTCTCCTTCAGCTTCTTCTTTATAGAACTCACTGAAATTCACTTCACTGACTTGTATCTCAATATTCCACGTTAGTGTCGTCTCTGATTTTTCTCAGAAAACCCTGCAACTTTCCTCTGACCAACAACAAGCGTCAAACCACATGTAAAAACATGTTCACTTCACCCATATACTTCCACAAAAAAAAGTAAGATGCATCAAGATTGTAAGCTTAAGGTAAATAAACTAGTAATTACCCTTCTGTATAGCTTTTCAGGAGTCTCAACTTTCTGATGGCTACCACCTGCATCAGCGATAACATGGAAGCAGAGATGGAAATTTTCAAAATACATTAAATTGCAAGTTCAAAAGAAAAGCGACTACCTTTTGAAGTAGTGTCACGTTTTGCATTCACGACACTAGATGTTGTTTGATTCTGTTTCAAGTAGATCAAAACACTGAGCCAAAAGAATCGCAAAACCGAAAAAAGCGAATAGTCAAGTTCTAAACTAAACTACACACCTGAGAGTTTCTATACACCTCAGGCTTAGACTCATTCTCCGCCATCCTCCTCTCAAAGAAACTCTCCTTCCCCGCAGCCTCCAGCTGCGACGTCGTGTAAACATCTTCTGACGACCTCGACTTCCCCCTTACACCACCACCTCCTCCTCCTCCTCCCCTAAAACCAATCTCCGATTGATTTCATCTCCCCAAGCATCCCATCCCCCTCCACCACCACCGCCCTAAGCCAACGGAGACTCCGTACTCATCACCGCAATCGGCGACGGCTCCGTGAAGATCTACGACACGTCTCTCTCGCGTCGTCGTCGAGAAGAAACCGTGGGAAAGAGAAGAAAGTGGATTTAGGTTTAATTAACTAAGGGTATTATAGTCTTTTGCTTATCAAAATTTTGAGTGTAAAGTTGGTTAATGCAAAAGTGAAATATGGTATCATCAAAGTGCTACTTTTAGCAATTTCCCATAGAAAAACTCCATCTTAAATCCTAATATAAACCTTAAACTACATTCTTTAACCCTATGTTTTAGAAACAAACTCAAATTATAATATTTAAATTTAAAATCCAAATCTTAAATACAAAACTATATAACTTTATCTTTTCAAAAGTTTTTCTCAAATCATATATTAGATAAACTCATATCCTATATCATACTTCAAAACCTAAACCAGCTCAAACTTAAACTTTACATACAAAACCATAAACTCTTACATTAAATTTTAACATTTAAATTTAACCCTTAAAATTTATATCCAAATCCTATTTTCAAACTACAAATTCTATATTATAAAATATAACATTAAAACATAAAAAATATCTTATATTTAACCATCATTCCCTATACATATTCTAAACAATAAATCTTAAACCAATTTTTATAAAATAAATTAACTATAAAATTATATGAAGAATTATACACTATTTTAAAAAGTATAAACAAGTTTTTAAAAAGTTATACACACTAATAAAAACTAAAGAAAATTAAAAAGGACAACATAAATAAACACACAGATGTATAGGCATCTTTGTTCTTGACTCTTTTTGTGTTCTTAGATGCCAAAAAGCTGAGATCTTGCTTAATGTTTCATCTTTTTGTGTGTATAGGCACAAAGTGAATCTGACGATGAAGGGAAGGATAAGTGGTGGTGTGGGAAGATGATGAAATGGAAAAGAGAAAGCGAGGTGTGACAGTGCGGCGTCTCCGGTGAAGCGTGGTGCGGCGGTGGAAGGGGAGGGGATGGTGGTCGTGCGGCCGTAGTGTATTTATTTGTATAAACGTATTTATGTATAATAACATGTATTAGATGTTTTAGTAATTAATCAATAAAAAATATTTGTGTGTTTTACTTTTTGTTTATTATTTTTGTATTTTTTTACTTTTAGAATAGCCACGGATATGTACTCATTTAACCGTGGTTTTGCTTAGACATGATAAAAAAAATTGTAAAACCGTGGCTAATATAGCCACGAAAGCACTGTGGTAAAATCGTGGCTATTTAACCATGTTAAGCTACGGTTTTTCGAAGCCACAAAGCTATAGTCATTGTAATTTTCTTACATAGAATCGTGTCTGGTATTACGATTTTTAACCTATATAGTCACGATTTCGTAGTGGCTACGCTTACTAGTGCGAAGAGAAAAGAAGACCGCATGCAAATACTGTGCCGGAAAAGAGCACTCCCGGGGGGGGGGGAGNGGGGGGGAATGACCACGTTACTTATGACGCATAACAAAACCAAAGGCCATAGGAGACACCGAATATTTTTTGTCCCGCATGAAACAATAGAAAAAGAGAGGATTCGTTATGAATCAGAACTAATGGAACGTAAGTTTGAAGATGGAATATGTAAAGATGTAATTGATGAGACGCAAATGTAGAGAAGCATTGCATCTTTTATTGAAATATATTGATGACATAGGGTTTTATAGACGATTGATGATCTTGTCTGTTAGATTACAAAATATTGATAAACACAATCGCTAGATTTAAATTTTATTTTTCTATAAACACAACCGCTAGATTTAAATTTTATTTTTGTATAAAAAATGATTACATCATTTTCCGTTTGCTATTATATATAGACTTTTACTTTACTTCGTGGGCTTTAGGACAGAAAAGAATGGCTAAAATAGGTAATGGTAACAAGAGTTGTCACTCGATTAAAGTATTCCAGACAGACTGATAACAAATTGACTGTGGTGACAACTTTTGCTTTATATTTATATTAGATCAAAAGAAAACATCTCTTATATATTAATCCTGAAACATTATATCATTTAAGTATAGCCACGTATTATCATTAGGATCACTCTTAGAATCTTAAAAAAAAATATGTTGATCGATCTAAATATAAAAAACATTTTTTATAAAATTAATAACTATCGAAATGATTTGTAGTGCATAAAGAACATTCTTTATTCTTTTCTTAAATAAAAGCTACAGAATTACCTAATATGATTAACATATATATGATAATTAATTATTTTAAATAATAAAGATTTGATATTAGTTTTTGTATCCTCCATAATTTTTGTTTAATTTATATTATTAAAAACATAAACAATCATATTAATCATATAATAAAAAATCTACTTTTTTTCTTATATGTTACATTTTAAAATGTTTAAAACAACTATAAATTACTAAAACTATCAAATATCTTACAATAAAAATTTTGTGAATTTTTATTTTATTTTTTTGTTATAATAATATAGAAATCTCATATTTTTTAATCCTAGAGCATTACAACATGTTTTCGTAGCCATGTGTCATCACCAGGATAATTCTCAAAATCCTTATAAAAATAAGTTGGTCCATATAATTATATATTGTACTTTTTATTAAACTAACTATCAAATTAGTTATTAGTGTACAAAAAATATTCTTTCTTTCCTTAAATAAAAGCTACATAACTACCTACTATGATTAACATGTATATGACAATTAATGATTATAAATAAGACATATTTGATAACAATTTTGTATCATTTCTCTTTTTTTTTGTTTAATTTTAAATTATTAAAAATAATTGAATAATTGCATTAAACATATAATAAAAATTAGATTTTTTATATGTTATATTTATAATTTTTGAAACGACTATAAATTACTAAAAATTGTATAACTCCCACATTGATAATTTTTGATCAATGGTTTATATTATTTTTATTCAAGTAAGATATAAATGATTATAAATCGTATGAATATGAAATATCATTAATAGATATTTATACTATATATATATATTAATATCATTTAAATTAAATTATATACTATATAAAATATATAAATATGTTAATTTCAAAATTTAAAGGTGAAAATTTATTGAGATTTTGATATATTAATTTTGAAATCCGTATTATGACAATCTCACATTAAAATTTTGTAATTTATTTAAATGTTTGTTAGAGAAAATATACAAAGTTTAATAAAATCATATGAGTTGGAAGTGTCAATAATAAATATAAATTAAATATAATATAGTATATATATTATATATATGTCAATATCAATAATGTTTAATTATATATAATATAAAGTAAACTAAATGGTTGCTTTGATTTATTTACCAAAAACATGATTGTAAATTAACAAAAGGTACTAGTTTTGATTTATGTGTTTACTGTAATGTATATACTTTTATGTATACAAATTATATTTTTAAATAGGTAGTTTCTAATATGTTATTTGATCCTGACAATCCGCGAATTACACTTCTTCAAATCGAAGTGATTTTTAATACTCGAAGCACTATATATATATGATTTCATTCAAATTAAATAATCTAGTCTTGATATTTATTGCTAAAAGCTTTTAATGAAATATCATTACAAGTCCAATCACCTTCTTTTAAATTTGTTTGAAGAATGAGAGATTTGATCATTCGTCTAATATTATTTCTCCATAATACCCAATGTAGCTATTATAATTTATCCGAAAAAGATTTATGATCTTAGTACTTTGGGATTTGGTTATAATTTGAACCGGATATAAATCCAAACTAGGTCCGAAGATATCTGAAATTAGTATAGTATGTTAATTTTTTTTTTTATATATCAAGGTAATTTATGTACTTTATTGTATTCGAAAGATTTTTGTAGTTTGTTTTATTTTTATCTTGAATATTATATAGTTGGTTTAGATAGTTTAACTAATTTTAAATTAGATCTACGAATAAGTTAAATATTTTGATAAAATTGTGTCAATTTTGAGGTTTCAAAAATACTTTTTGGGACGATTTTAGATTTCAGTTACAATCCGATCCAAACCAAATTTGGAAAGAACCGAACCGAAACTGATCCAATAACTAGTAAAATCTGAATAGATCTGAAAAGCATAATACCAAAAATTTGAAAATCCGAATCAATCAAACCAAAAATGACGGATCTCTATATATCCAGATGTATGATATATTTAAGAGACCAACATTTATATCATTATTTTATCAAAATGAAATTGAATAAACATTAATATAAAAAAAAACTCATCTCACGCATGTGTGCATGTATCATCTACTTATCTTTTAATTTCTGCAAATAAAAGGGGGTTTTTCGTACATTGTTCAACATATATAACAAAGTTCAGAAAAAAGGATTTCAAAGGAAGTGATTCCTTCAATGCCCTATAAAAAGAGGCCAAAGAAGAGCAAAACACACATCCCCATCATTGAGTATCTAGTTTTGCATATTGCTCTCGAGTGTTTTCCCCATCCTTGTGTGCTCAAAAGATTTAACAAACCCTCTTAAACTTGGTAAGATGTTCTTTCATCTTTACCAAAAGAGGAAAAAAGACTTAGACGGTATATGTTATCCCTTACTTCAGTTGGGAAGCAGCATTCCTCTTAGCTTCAAGGTTTGAACCCTCTTTAAGTGCCATTTGTGATTCGTTCTCCATTCCCAAAAATGAAAGGGAAGCAGACTGGAGATATGACGCCACATGCCACACGGGAGAGATCACTTGTGCTTGAATTGCATCATCTAATGCTTCTTTTGGCATGTCACTCATCAGGTAACACAGGCTACGCCGTGCACACACTGTTGGAGAGACCATTCCTCCATCAATGAACTGTGTAAATTTGGAGGAAACCAACCACATCATCCAGGTTAATCATATACTATCTGAGTTCTTACAAGTGTGTGTGTTTTAAGTGCGAAGGAACCCGACCTGCGTGTAATACTCAATGGCCTCTCTAAAGTCTTTTTGCCTGAAAGCCACATCTCCCTTCTTCTTCGAGTTCAAAGACTCTTGCATCTGGTCTGTCCACATTTGAAACGATAGCTGCATTTCCAAAAACATTGTAACTCACCACCATCAAGAACCAAGCAAAGCAGTTATTTATACCTCATTGGTGACACCCTCGTCGTCTTTGTATCCAAGTTTCTCCAAGATCTCAAGCATAGCAGTCAGGTCCTTTCTCGAGCAAGCCTCACCAAGAGGGGACAGGGGAGACACCGAACCACTGTGAGGCAGACCCATTAGAACATGAGATGGGACCTGTAGTGCAGGGAAACGTTTTTCTGAGTCAACATACAGAAACTTGGTCCTTGTTTTTTACTAATGGCTCAATAATATGAAATGGGAACCTCTGTGTTTTTCTGAAGAGGCGTCAGGGCAGTGACCAAAGATTTTGTGTTTGGCCTCTCACGAGCTTCGTACTGGAGACAACGAGACGCAAGGCGTACTAGCTCTGTGCCATCGCTTTCAGAGAACTGCCCATCTAGGCAAGAATCGGTTAGCGACTGGAGATTTCTGTCTCTAATCAGATCAAGTGCCTACATAGAATACATGTAAAGAATCATTCTCCATATGTCAAAGGTTGCAATCTCATATGCAAAGAAACAAATACTTACATGGCTAGGAGGTATGTGTTTCCCACTGAGAACATCAAGCAGAAGAGTGCCAAAGCTGTAAATCACGCTCTCTGGAGTGATTCTCCCTGTAAAAAGACACACACACACAAAGAGAAGGTTTGCGACTTAATCTCAACCATATCATTATTGGTTTAAACACACAAAAAATGATGAGATGTACCAGTTCGAAGATATTCAGGAGGGGTGAAAGCAAGATTTGTGCTGTAACTTTTCCCATCACGACTATTCTTCATCAACCCAAAAGTAGAAAGTCTTGGATTGCATTCCTTACAGGAAAAAAGACCCTTAAGGCGTCAGAGAATGAAGGAATAACATAGAAACATGGCAAGTCAGTCAATAGTAGTCAATACCTCATCAAATAAAACTCGGTAGGCGTTGAGGTCGTGATAAAGAATACGGCCTTGGTTGGTGCAGTATTCAAGAGCTTGTGCTAGATATAAAACAACTCGTAGCCTCATTGCCCATTTCATAGGCTGTGCTTCCCCTGGTTTCACATAAGAACACTTAGACTCTTTGGGGAGGGCATAAGGGAGAGAAGATGAATCTTACAATGGAAAAGGTGTTTGGCTAGGGTTTCATTGGGCATAAACTCTGCGACAAGCAACCTCTCGTCGCCTTCGCAGCAACAGCCGAGTAAATTGGCCATTCTCTCACTCCGCAGCTGACCAACGGACCTGGCTTCCTCCTGCACATTGGGAGGAACTAAGATTATAAAAAGAGAGAGAGAGAGTTAAACAACAAAAGTATAGAGATTCCACTCCATACAAGGAACTGCCGTGAATCAGGCCAGGCCATTCTAGTGAAACGCTTGACAGCAATTTTCTTTTGGTTCTCGAGTTTGCCTTTGTAGACGACATTGGGAGCCTTCTCTCCATGCTCAGATACAATACACTCCACAGCAAAACCACAAGTAGCTGACTTGAGCTGTTCTAACGTGTACTCCCTGAAACCAGGGACATCGGTGCTCTCACTATTCTCTCCATTTTCTGCATAAGCAATCAACATGCCTAAGCATCTACAAGTTCCAAGTGGGGAAGTAAGTAAAAAAAAGAGGTGAACGAACCAACATGAGGAGCTTCAAGAACAGCTGTCTTGTGTAATGAGTTCCCACAACAACTACCGAGGTTAGAGCATTGGCCTCCCATATGTTTGAATCAGAAGTAGGTTGGTAAAGCCAAGAAGCTGTAATAATTTAGAGAGGCAATGATGAACAATCAAATCGTAAAAAGAGAAACTTTCATTGCCAAAAAAAAAAAAAAAGAGTTGAAAAGGACCGGACCGGTACCTTGTCTAACTCGGTGAGACTCTTTAGTGAGTCAACCCGAGTGGGTTACAGCAACAACTCAACAAACCCAGTTGAAAAAGAGGGAATTAAAGAAAAAAAACACTAATTTGAGGGCAAATTACTCAGACCTGGAGCCAATAAAACCACTAGTAGCTACGATGAATCACACGATCCACGAACTTTGTGTATTTAGGAGGTTTTGGTTTCTCGGTTTCATCAAAAACAGCAGAGAGAGATGAAAGAAACAAACAAAAACAAAACCGAGCACAAGCAAATGCACGTGCCTCCAATAAATTAATTTTTTTTTTTTTAAGAAATAATAGAGAGACCGTATCTCATTCGAATCGACATTAACGTAATGTCATTCATGTGTAACTTAGCTTAAACAGTCCCAACTTGTCGAAAACCATTTTACATTAAAAAGAAAAAGATATCAAATCAAAAAAGTTTTTATATATATTAGTAGATGTGCATACGTGCATCTACTATATACACATCTGTTAATTCACCAGACAAATTTTTTTTTTTTTTTCTGAAGCAACAACAAGACAGAGAAAAAAAGAAATAAATTACCGACAAGTTAAATGAAATTGTTGAGACTCGAGAAGACAACCAAAGAATCTGCCCATTCCTCACTGTCACTGACCATATGGCCCCCCAGAACATAGCACCGCCTGTTAGAACAAGTGGTTTGTTCTTCTTACTTCATTGAACTGCTTCCTCTTTTCCGTTCTCTGGCTGCCGTAATCACTAACGGTCTTAGTCGATGACGCACTAAGCAGTATTGGTTTTGTGATGTGTAAAAGCCCATGGGCTTTTATGGGCCTCTGTTTTCCTGGACCTGGTTCAGCCTATATCAATCAATCTCCCTTTTAACAATGTGAAGGCAAGTTTTTCAATCGTCGTTAATCTTGCTTGTGGATTTGAAGGACGAGTTCGTGACTATGCTAGATTCTCAATATATACATATAGATTGATAGATACAAATCCAAATTTGAACAGTTTTATATAGACATATATGTTTGTTGAATCCTCTATCTCTCTCTGTTATCTGGAACAAGATTTAGAGCATAGAGTCCGTCATGGCCGGAAGTCTCCGGAAAAAGTTGAGTGGAGCGGATGGAATACGGTGTCTGAGCTTAGGGTGTCGCATGAAGTAGTAGCCGGAGAGGAGAGCAAAGAGCTTAAAAGGTGTTATATAGAGAATCATGGCAATGATGAAACAGAACGTCACAAAAATTGCAGTGGCCCGTGGATCACGCCAGCTCAGCAAAGCCTGCACGCGCTCTCCCTGTGCCGCTATGTCTCCAACCACCGTCTGTATCTTCCCCGCCACAATTCTCAGCCGGTCGTACCTGACAAACACATAGTAAAACCATCAAAACCAAACAAGACTAGTTCTGCTTCTAAGGTACCTCTTTTTTTTTTTCCTTTAACTTCTAAATAATTATGCTATTACAAAATGATTAGAAATTTTACATAAATGATTAGGTAATTAACAATTTTCTCTAGAATGTGCATTGTTTGTTTTTCTATTCATTAATGAACTTTTAATCAATTTATTGGAGGTTATGGGACTTTCCACACCTCTTTTTTGTTATATATATATATATATGCTATTTTAGAAAATAATTGATCTTTTTAGTTTCAAAATATAAGAATATCTCCGAAAACAACTTCAAAAATGAAGTTGACAAACCTTTAAAGTTGAAGTTTGAGGATGTATCTATTCAAATTTTGAAATTACTTGTATAGATATTTTAAGAAGTTTTAAGTTTTTTATATTAACTTAAATTTTATTAAAAACTGTTTAACCAATTATATTTTATGTCTTTTTATAATTGGCTGAATCAGTTTTTAATTTATATTTTCAAATTATGTGATTTTAGAAAATAATAAGTTTCTTAATTTTGGGGGGGTTTATGCATAACGTCTTAATATGAAACATATAAGTATATGTTTACACTGTTCTGTTACCTCATTTTGACAATGTCAGGAGCCTTGATGGTCGGGAAGATATCAAACTCTTCGTCAAGCTCATCAGCATTCACACTCTCCGCGTAAGACAGTTTGGTATCCATATGAGGAGGAAACCTCGGTTTAAACCTGTAGTTCCACAACCCAATCACAGCCATATACAGAAACACAGTCGGCAAAATCATCTCCGGGAACATCACAAGCATCGTGTACAGCACGTGCACAAGCGCCGTCGTCACCGGCGTCCTCCAGCTGCACACTTCTCCCATCCATTTCCACATAGACATCACTCCCGAGAACACGGCTGTGAACCTATAGAAGTTGGCTTTGCTTCTCCTCATGCTGAACAGATGAGTCTTAGCATCGGTCATGTACTCAACCACTTCTCGTCTAAGCGGCGGCTCAGACCTGCCTAGTCGAGCCACGATTATGTTGAGAGCCTGCACCCTAAGCATCTCCTGCAGGTTTACGGATAAAGGTTGTATGTAATGCATTTTAGGCAAGAGTGGTTTTGTGTATTTCATCATCATGTTGGAGACTGATGTGCATGTGAATCTCACTGCTAACTGAAGCTCCCCTCTTTTCTTGAGACCAGATGGGGTTAGAACAAGTAAAGGGTAAGCGTTCGTGTAGACACGTCCTGTCTGAAGAGTGGAGAGTCTGATACGGACTTTCCCAATGGTCTGATCTCTGGATCCGTTTCCAGCTGAGAAGTGACCATTGTCAAAGACGCAGATGGTTAGAACCGTTGCTGGATCAAACACTTCCCATGTGTATTGCTCATTGTACTTTGGACTCAAACTGTTGATTACAGTTCTTGACCGAACCCACTTGTGACCGTATTTAGCAACAACGTACGTGTCCGAAGTACCTTTCCCGTCTCTAGATTTCACCGGGTGGAGCCCGTTTGCGTTAAGTATCCCAAGCTCCAAGACTCCTATAGCTTGTTTCCAGAGCGGTCTCGCTGTAGGCCTTAGATCGCTGCTGTAGTAAGTAGACTCATCAAAAACATGGTAGCCTCCTTCAAGAACCGCAGCCACATGGATCCTAGTAGCGAACTTCACTCTCTTGGCCTTGTCCTCATCCATAGCATCTGAGATCGAGTCTTCAAGATGAAACCAACGGCTACGGAAAGTTCTATCATCATTACGTCTCTCAATAGCAGAGAGTGGAATCACAGCTTTGCCTACTGGCTCGTCTCTGTTAGCTGCAGAGTGATCTTCCACTGAGAGGACCAAGTGTTCCTCAAACGGCTCAGCGACTACAAACATGAACTCTTGGTTCCATGTTGGATGAAAGCTTCTTTGAGAGACTCTAGTCTTTAACATTTGGTTACCGATCTGGATTCTCACAAAGGCTTCAGGGAGACGGGACTTGTCAGAGACTATGATCACGTCTTGAGCCTCTAGTATCTTCACCCTTAGGTACCATAGCCGAGGAGAATGGTAGACCTTGGAGCGCAAGTTAGCTGAGATGATGTCTGAGCTGTCTGAAGATGTCAATGAGTCTGAGAAGACAGCATCACCAAAAGCTTCATCAGCTTGAGTACCTTCCCAAACAGCAAGCATGATCTCAGCTTTCTTCTTCTCACCTCTCTTGTTCTCAAGTCTGTACCACTCTGGAGCTAAAGGACTATCCGGAGGAACACGAGACCGAACCTCATGGAGATCAAACCGAACAGTGCCGACGTAATCATCAAGGACAAGGTCTTTATCCTTGACAACGATTTCAACAACGTTGGACTGAAGATTCTCTTTAGCAAAAGCAAAGACTTGGTTCCACTCCGGATCAGAGTTCTTGTCTAAATGTCTTGTAACTCCTTTGAAGTTTCCTATTTTAACTTCAACGTAAGGGTCTAAGCTTCCGGATAGGTCTCTGTCAGGGAGATCACGCGCCTTCACGACTCTCACGAAGAGAAACCTCATCTCTTCAACGAGATCATACGTGCCGCTTGAAGGTCTCTGTGTGCCACGAACCACTCTCCCTCCAATGATCTGTCCACCTCCCAGGAAAGGGCTTGTCTCTTTGACGGAGAAATCTGATGGAGCGTTGACCTGAACTACTCTTGGAGGCAAGGGAGCAGCAGCTCTCATCTCCTGCATACCATAGTTCATCACCATCGGCTGTTGTTGTTGTTGATTGGGAACGTTATAAAACGTACGTGTTTTAGGGGTTTTAAGCTCTCTTCTCTCATCACCAGCAGTTGTGATTATGGAGTTTGTTACAGGTTCTTGACGTGGACTAGGGATATAATAAGCTCGAGGAGGAGATTCAAGAACTTGGGTTGGGAGAGAAGGTGTGATAGAAGGATCCTCTGTGATGAAGACTCTCAAGCCAAGCTCTCCACGGGCTCTAGAGAAGACGCTGCGTTTCTCTAGAGGGTAGTTGAAAGGAGCTGCTTCAGAGTGAGGAACAAAGGATGTTCCGTTGACTCGAACTTTGCCAAGAAAGGGCTTAGCATCGGTTCCGTCCTGGTAGCTGTAGACATGGGCTTCGAGTGTACGTGTGGAGAGGAAGGAAGGATCAGAGACAGCGAAGTAGAAAGACTCGTGCCAGACGGGGTTTGGGTCGTTGGGTTTGGTGGTTGTGCGGAATATCTGGTTATCAAACTTGAGCTCCACGAAAGGGCTACATGAGTTTTGCTTGTCTGTGTTAAACAGACCATGTGCGCTTATGACTTCAACGCCAAGCTTGATATTGCTCATCTAAGCTTGTTGTTGAACTCAACACCTTATCAAGAAGAGGCAAGAAGAGCTTATAAGGCACCTTTTCAAGTCTTTTGCTTGTTTTTCCAAAACAGAGGAGGACAAGAAGCAAAAGACATGGACTCGGTCTTTAAAGACCAATCATCTGTCTTAATCAAAACCAGTAGAAAATGAATAAAAAATCTTAGTTTCTTGGAAATTACGGCAAAGAAAAACAAAGTGTAGATAAATCCAAGTGTTAATGATTTTAGCTAAAAGAGTTAATGTTCTGTTTTACTCTAAGGGACTTGATCGAGCCTCTGTTTCCATGGAAATTACAGGGTTGATTTGCTAAACCCACATGGGTCCCTATGGGACCATTCAAGGACCACAACTCTAAGGCGCCGGTTACTACTACGAAACATCTCAGCACCAATCCGTCTGAAACGTTGACCGCAACTCAAACGTCAAGTCTTTTTTGTTTGTTTGAGCCTAATCGTTTGTTACTCAATTATTAATTTTTTTAATTATAAGTTCTTATCAAATCTGAATAGATATATTATGGTTTCTTTAGTTAAATAACCATATATAACAGATGTATCATTTTTGAACAGCTAGCTATGGTTAGTGCCAAGGCAACGTTAGGTGCTTTGGAATTTATAATAGAAAATTTGAATATACGTTGGAAAAGTCAAAATAAGTACATGCAAACGTCCAGAAAAGACAGAAGAGTCTATTTAGAAGACTAATAACAATAGTCTAAAAAATCAAGAAAGACTTGATTTTTTCTAATTAACAATTAAATCTCGTTTTCTCTGTAGGAGACGTATCACTTTCAGATCACGTCTCTGGTATGTATAAACAATATGATCTTTCGAATCAACAAGGTTCTGCCTTTTAAATGCATGCCGTCAAATGTAAAACACGCAATATTACATGAAGTTAAAAATATAATGATTTATTTGTGTGCTACTAGCAAAGAGGAGATTCACAACTAAAAGAACGCAAAAAGCAAGCAAATAAGGCATGAGGAGACCAATCATGTCATGACAGAAGAGAGGGTCAAAACTGAGAGGAAAATACAAGAATATGTTCATCATGAAAACCCTCAAACGTACATTAATGTTCTCACGACTAAAGCTCATATGCAACCACGAAGTAATAAGGATAGATATGTATAAGAATGAGTACAACTTGTCAAAGTTGTTATTTGATCCATTTTATGATCTAAAACTGTTACGTGATCTCTCAGTATTCAGCATGAAAGATGATTGATATCAGGAGTACGGAGTAAGATGTATGTGTTGGATCAAATAAACCTAATGGCTTTACTTAAATTGTGAAAAGAAATGGGTCAATGGGCCAGAGTAGTTAAAGCCCAATGGCATAAGTTAATGAGGGATTTTTTCACCATCCCACTTCGCTTTGAGGAGATGAGGTTGAGTGATATATAAGCTAATACACTTAGCTTAGCTGAGATGAATCAGAGGAAGAAATGGTTCCTAATGCGCGCGTTGTCGCTGCCAGCTCAACGTGGGCTTGGGTAGAGAACAATCTACTTGGATCAAGTTAAAGTTTAATGCTTTGACATTCAAATTTTAAAAAAACAGCAATGATGTTCGTGTATACTTAGGTAGAGAGTAATCTTCTTAGACCAAGTTAAGCTCACAGATCAAAAACATAAACATTGGACCAAATTAAGCTCAGATCAAAAAACAGCATAGCGTCAACCCAGAAGATAATTAATTAGACAAAATATATATATATATATATATATATATATATATTAAGAGTAAAAGATAATTAATTAGACAAATCTATATTATAATAGTACACTTTCTAGGTTCCACAACGCGCCACATCAGCAGTTTTGTGGTTCCCGTAGGTATTTTTTAAAAACTTATAATCTTGGTAAGATGATTATAAAGAATGAAATACACTTTAGCCAAGTGGTATAAGGTGTCTAATTAAGCATGCAAGATCGTGGGTTCAAACCAAGCAGCCATCATTTATTTTTGATTTTTTTTTTATTTGGGTTATTATCATATGGGTTTTTGGTTTGTAAGGTTTTTAAGTTTTTTTATGGATTATTTGGATAAACCCTAAAGTTTAACGAGTACAAACCAAAAATAGATGCAAAAACGATCAATAAAAAAACAAAAAAAAACAAGTCTCACGCGGTTGCCTACGCGGATGGCTTAAAGAGCCTTAAAACTATCCTATTATAATATAGTTCAACCCAAAAATCATAAAAAATGAATCCAAAAACGAACCGACCAAAAACAAAAAGTGAATCCCACGCGACTACCTACGTGGATGGCTTAATGAGGCTTGAATAATATAGATTAAGAGCTCAAAAAGTGAATTCATTGCACATATTTCCTAATATATATTTTCAAAAAATTTGTATGTGAGATAAAATAAAAAAAACAACAAAAATTAATTATTTTCGTTATTTATTTAATGAATATGTAATCTCTCTTACATTTTAATAACTACTATAATTTCATTGAAAACATTCCTCACCACCGATTTCAGACTCCGGCGAATGGATTCCCAAGTCGATGACGCCGTAAATAAAAATGCCACATAATTTATGAACAAAACTCAAACTTACAAAAAACATATATAAAAACCTATCTAATGAAACTTAAACAATGAATGTTAACTTAATTAAGGTTATTTTCAAATTGATAAATCGAATAATACAAATATAAATACTATAAATATAGAATTATATCAAGTTTTTTGAAATAATATAAAAACTATTTACAAAAAAAAATAGACACCTACTTTTACACACTAAAAACTATATTATAACCTAATTGTTCCTATAAACCTTACTTCGCATATAAATAACATTTAACACGTTAGATATACAATATTTTCACTTTACACTCTTACAACATTCTTTCCATTTCATTATTATTTGATGTCATTAAAAGAATCCACTAAACTACTAAATCGAAAAAATATACGCAAACATAATGATTCCGGCCCCGCGCTTGCGCGCGCGGGAGTATGCAACTAGTTATAATTAAATAAGAGGGAGAGACAATGAAAAAATATAAAAATACTAGTGGTATTCCGGAGCTACGCGCCGGGTTCGTATGTTTTATTCTCTAATGAGTTTAAAATTGCTTTTAATCTATTTGATAGTTGTTAGTGACGTGCATTACTTTGTTTTAGAGTAGTTTATGTCAAAGAGGAATAGAATAAGTGGTTTCAATGATGGTTAGCTGATACTTGTACGAAAGTAAGTTGAACTTAAAACATAAACTAAATTTAATTTTCCAAAAGGAAAACATGTAATGCATGTGTTTGGTTTGTGGTTATCTTGTATGATTGTTTGATACAAAGTGTTATTCACATGTGTATTTCATTTTCGTTATATATTGTCTTTGATGAAATGTGTTTGTTGTATTTGATAATGGCTTAGATACAAAAATATCTATACTATTAAAATGTAAGTCGTGACTCGTTTAATATGTGATTTTAATTGATTAGTTTATAAAATTTTACATAACATCATTATAATATATTTTCATATATTTTTTAAGTGAAAAAAAAATTCATACCTTTATTTATTTTTGAAATAAAAATTAATATTTAAAAAAAAACTCTAAGAAAATCTATTTTAAATATTTTAGGTTCTTTTCAAAGTAAAATTTCGAAAACTATTTGATTGAAATTTTAATTATCACAAAAGATAACTAAAGAAAATAATTCATTTTTTATATTTAAACAAAAATTAAAATTATATATTTTTAAAATATTTTAATATTAAAGTACACGTATGGTTGTGCGGGACGAGATCTAGTAACGGTAGAAATAATTGTTATTGTTGTAGTACATAAAAATTGTTGGATTTTAGTGTTAGCTTAAGATAAAAGACAAATGACTAAATATCAAAATTAAAGTTCAGTCATTTTTTATAGAGAACTCTGTTGGCAGCGTATTAATATTATTTGGACCAAAAGCCTAGATTTGCCGAGGAAATAGCAGCCAAATCCAAGAAGAGGACATAAGTAAATCAAAGGAAAGATATAACCATCATCAAACCCCATTGATCTTGAAATCTAGGTTTCTACCTTCTTTATTTGATTGATTGTGTGTTCTTGGAGTTCTGATTGTGTTTGATTCTATTTGACATATAAATATTTATATGGAGATACAGATCTGATTTTTTTCCCAACGTTTATGTTTTATAAAGCTTAACGTTCCAATATAAAATTGTATATAATTGATCTTTTTTACATAAACTATCATTATATCAAATGAATTTGACCGTCTGTAGTTCCATCAATTTATATATGTTTTATCATTCAACTCCATAGAAATCTTAGTGGCATGGTTCCGACCCAACTTATAGCTTCTGTCCCATCTTTTGCTGGCCTCGTTCTTGAAATGAAAGATATTCATAAAAACTAACCAAATAGAAAAAATATATATGAAGTTATATATCATCTATAGTGAACAGATTATTGGTACACTGCTTCTAAACCCACTGAAATATCAAAGTAACAAATCCAAATCGCACCACTTTTTAATGATAGAGAGAAAAGAAACTCTAGACAGAGATAAGAGAAAGAGTTAGTACTCAGAACACCAAAACCAACACTAAGAGCAAGGACAAGATGCAGAACAGAGCCTCCCTCGATGTTGTAGTCTTTTGCCGTCTTGTCATCAGCTAGCTGTTTACGGGGGTAGATGAGTCTGCAAAATAAAAAACTCTAAGAATCAGTGTTACATGTAACTGCTCAGATTATAGCTTGCAAACAGAGTATAATCAACTAATGGCAAGAACATAAGAAAACACATTAGAAAGGAGATGCAGTTTTCTAAATCACTAAGACGTGAAAAGATGTTTTGTAGATTCAGTTTTGATAAACCAGATACAACTCCAACGACCTGAGACAAGAATAACAGGCCTACAACTACAAGACGGCAGAAAATTAACCACCTTCATCGAATGGACACCAAAACAGAGATGCGGCAGCTAAGGACTAATATTTGGTTATATCTAGGTTCACATATAAACACAGATCAGTTGCCCATTTCATCTAGCAACAGAAAATATATCAATTCCAGTTTCATATAATCAGATATCAACAGAGATTCAGACATTTAAGATGCGAAACTGAATATTAAACATGAAGGGACATATGGCAGTCTACTAAAACTACAACACAAATAACACAACACAAATCAGCATCAGTCAAACGATGAACAAATCATACTGAGAATATACACAAACAAAGAAATCAAAGTCAACCACAGATAATAAAATGACAAACTTAAATTACAATAGCTTTAGTGGCCTCCAGAGGAAAGTAAGTGGTGAAGAAGCCATTCATGTCGGTCTAATATCTGCTGCGCCAAGTGATTGTCTTCGAGAGACCCCTAGCTTATACTTCTTCTTGGAAAAGGCAAAAGTACCAATTATAACTAAAGCCTTGATACAAAAGCACATAAAGAAGACTTAAACATATGGTCCGTAGACAAGATTTTATACCTTCAGTGCTTAAGATTTTGAAGCTGCGTCACCAGCAAAAACAGCTTTCAGAGCTCTTGCACAGGTTGTCTAGCAGTTCTAACGGCACCAGCTCTCATCTACGCTGTTGTGAAAACTAAAGAAGGGTAACAGCAAAACCCAAGCTTCAAGTTCGGTGAAAAGCGAATCTTTCTGACTCAAAAAGCTTCTCAACTTTCCTGAGGTATATGATTAGAGGATTTGTTTCTGATACAAAGACCACAACCTGCAGAGAAAGAAAACAACTGTGAATGCTAGCTTGTAAAGAGATTGCAGGAGAAGTTGATCATTGACGCATAGATTTGTGCTGTATTTGCTAGAAGTTAGAAGCCATAACAAAGACAGATGTGAACCAAACAGTCATAAACGTGGAGGTGAACGGCATTTATTTAAGAAGATATAATTAAATTTTATTTGTAGACCTGTAACAGAACTCGAAATAGCAGAAGCACTTGTCATTTAGAGAAAGAATTGAGCTATCAAAACAGTTGAGGTCACGTACGTTAAACTGAACCTTCACTCAAAAGGTCTCCATAAGCTGCATCCGAGCATGTCCAAACCCAGTAGCTCGTCGCCGTTCTTCAATTTTTTCACCTCCCAAAAAAAAAAAAAAAATTTAGAACAAACTATTATACTCGACAGTCAAGTTAATTACTTTAGGGATGCAATGAGTTGGAGTGAATGCTTGAGAGTGAGGTAATCAGCCTAATCTGGGAGTAAAGGAGGTGTAAAAGAAATCGTTGTAAGGTTTCTGAGAGTTCTTCGTTGTTTCACATCTCTACAACTCTTGGCGGCCAAACTCGAGATACACAGAGCAAAGAGAAGACATAGAAACCTAAAAACAGAAACGGGCCTCGAAATGGTAAAAAAAGCCCAAGTCCGGGGGAAAAATAAAAAACGTGAGTCACATAACCAATCTCAATTCAACACGTGTCATAAAACCCCCACATCAAAAAAGTGACGTGGCCGCTTGTGTGAGCAGATGGGTCAACTTTATTATTATAGATTATTTTAATCAATAACCCTCAACAACAGTTCAGCGTAGACATGGGTAGAGAGCAATTTTCTTGGATCAAGTTAAAGTTCAATGCTTTGACATTTAAATTTTAAAAAACAGGTGTATAGCTTAGGTAGAGAGCAATCTTCTTGGACCAAGTTAGCTCAGATCAAAAAACAACATGACATCAACCGTCAACAACTTGAACAATCAACAAACATAATAAGAATAAGAAGATATATAATTAATTAGACAAAAAAATCTATATAATAAAAGTAAGAAAATAATTAATTAGACAAATTATAATTAAAAAAGAGGGAGAGACACTTTAATCAATAACCCTCAACAACTTGAACATATTGAAATAATAATTGATCACTCTTCTTCTTTCTTCTAATGAAGAAGAACCATTCCTTTTCTAAATCCTGTAGAAGAAGAAGGAACAAGTAAACAAGAAATTATTGATCAAAAACCAAACATAAAAATTGACGATAGTTACAAAAATAAATGAGGATATTTTAGATCCAAAACAGGAACACTCGAAAAATATCAACAATTTAAACCAAAACCTGTAAAATATAATGACTTCTTGGATCTTGATTGTGTTAATCACCAAGAAGAAAAAAATCAGATTACATACTTGGGTCTCTGAGAAAGAAATGCAACTACAATTAAACAAAACAATTCAAAAAATGAATGCCTAAAATTATTTAGATCTCTTGATATATAACACAAACGGAATTGTATTACCTTGCCGGAATGAAGGATGCTAATAAAATCCAATTAAAAATTTTAGAGACCATCAACAAATCTTTGTCTCTGTAGTCGAACAATTAAGTATCTAGTTCTTAGGTGAAATAAATTTACCAGGGAAAGAACAAACTAATGAAGACGAATAACAAATAGCAAAAATGAGACATATATTAAATAATATAGAAATATACAATATGAGATATCTAGACGAATTCATATGTCAATATGAAATAAAATATTATGATTAACCACACGAAGATTACACTAAATATATGGAAGTATTTATACAAAAATGATCATCCCCATTTAATATAACATTACCTAGATTATTTAAAGAAAATAAAGATAAAAAATAGTATCAGACTCTTTTGGAGGAATAATACAAATACTAAGAGAATTCGTAAGAACCTTATGTATTCAAATCCAAGAAATAAAAAGAGTAAAAAGAACTTTTGAATTCAGGTGTGAAAACCTTCGAAGATATACCTCATATTTGGTTGCGAAGAGATATTATAAATATGAAAATAAAAATTTTAGATACAAAAATAAATACTTTAGACCAAGAAGGAGAAAACGATATAAAAGAGAAAAAAGAAAGAATTATTATAAAGAAAAAGAAAAGAAAGCAATAGATAAAGAAAAATATTGCCCCCAAAGCAAGAAATATTGCAAATGTTGGTTATGCGATGAAATAGGTCATTATGCAAACGAATGCCCAAATAAAAAATCATATAAAAAAGAAGTAAAATATCTTAATGAAATAAATTCGATTGGACTAATACCAATAGAATCAGATAATGAATCATCATATTATTATGAAATACTATCGTCATCATAATCTGAAAGTGAATATAGTAGTTCAGATGAATCCGAATAGCACATTCATTCAGATTCAAATAATGGATGATAAAAAAAAAAGCAAAAACTTTCGCATATATTGATACTGGTGCTACACTATGTATTTCCAAAGAAAATACTATAGATAAAGCATTATGGAAATATTTTTTAAAAAACCATTGACTATAAAAGTGGCAGAGAAAAGTGAACATAAAATTAGCATAATTCATATAAAAATAGCAGAAAAATATTTATAATGCCAAGCGTTTATAATTACGATACATGATTACCTCTTATAATCGGAAATAATTTCTGAAAATTATACGGGCCCTTCTGTCAAGTATCTAAAGCACATATCGTTAACATACCCAAAAATAGGAAAACAAAAAAAAAGAAGTAATAAATATACCTATATATAACAGTAAAAAAGATAAACTAAAAATTCAACTAGTAAATAAAATAGAATCAATAATAGACTACGAGAAGGTTATGAAAAAACTAGAAGAGGTATGTAATGAAGATGTACTTGATATTAAAAACACTAACAATATGCTAGTAAAAATTAAATTAAAGGACCCTAACAAAGAAATATGAGTTAATTATAAAATGATCTATACCGAACAAGACGTAAAACAATTTCAAGAAGAAACCAAAATATTATTGAAAAAGGGATTGATAAGGGAAATTTTTAGCCAACACTCTTCACTTGATTTCTATATTAATAATCATAACGAACAGAAAATAGGTAAAAGAAGATTTGTGATAGACTATCGAAAATTAAACAAAGCAGCAATAGGTAATGCCCAAAACCTACCTGGAAAAGAATACTTAATTAAAAAATTGATAGGAGCTAAGTATTTCTCAGCACTTGATGCAAAGTTGGGATATTGGCAAATCCGGCTTCATGAGAATACTAAACCATTAATGGCTTTTACATGCCCACCTCAAAAACACTTTGAGTGGAATGAACTGCCTTTTGGATTAAAACAAGCTCCAGGAATATCTCAACAATTTATGGATGACAATTTAACTGGTTACGGAGAATTTAGCTCAGTATATATAGATGATATAATAATATTTACAAAACATGATGAAAAAGATCATCTCGAAAAAGTATATAAAATACTTGAAAGATGTAAAGGAAAAGGCCTAGAGCTAAGTCAAAAGAAAGCCAAAATACTTAAACAAAAGATAGAATTCTTAGGACTAGAAATAAATATTAACAGAACAATTGTCGCACAAAAACACATACTTGAAAAGTAAATCAGTTTCCTAACCACTTACAAAATAGAAAGTAAATACAACGCTTTCTTGGAATTCTAAACTATTTACCTGATTAAGGATTTTTTAAAAATCTTGCAAAACAGAGAAAGTCTTTACAACAAAAAATATCTGAAAAAATCCTTGGAAATGGACCGAGGAAGATAGCAAGGTCGTTGAAAAGTTAAAAGATATGTGTAATAAATTACCTGAATAATATAACCCAAGCAAAGATGATATACTTATCGTCTCTACTGACGCATGCATAACACATTGGGGAGCCACTTTTACGGCGTTATGCGGTAAAAAATCCAAAAAAAAATTGAAAGAATAAAATAATTAATAACTCAAAAGACTTCGTTAAAACAAGAGAAACTAGTAAAATATAATAGCGGTACTTTCACTGATACTCAACAAAAATACTCAATACATGATTTAGAAACATTGGCAGCTATAAAAACATTTTAAAAATGGCAGATTGATTTAAGACCAATCACGTTTTATCTAAGAACTGATTCAAAATACTTGATCGGATTTCAAAATTACAATATAAAGGCAAATTATAACCAAGGAAGACTAATAAGATGGCAAATACAAATATCACAATACTCATATGTACTAGGATACATAAATGGAGAATTAAATTCAGTTGCTGATTCACTAACAAGGGAATTCAGAGATGAAAACCTGAAATAAACAACTATATTTACCAATTATATTTATCAATAGGAGAATTGATAAACTATCATTAATAATCATCTATCAGTGATAAATTTATCAATCACTATTTGATAAATACTCTTGATATAGAGATTATATCGCATAAACAGTCAGCCATAAGGCACATAATCCATTTCAGTTTCAGAAAAACTATGGAAGCAGTAATAAAAACATTAGAGAAGCAACTCAAGCAGAAGAAAGAAAACCTAAAGAAACTTCAAAAAGAAATAAATTCACTCGAATCAGTTATCCAAACACTAAAACCTAAAAGCCAAACCCAAACACAGAAACTATAATCTTACTAGAAAGTCCACCTAAAAGCCCAGTCACTAAGAAACCCAACAAATTCTATGTCATCTTTAACGGATCCATGAGAGGAATCTATGACGAATGACACAAAGCAGCCCAATTCATAACATGCAGATTCATTACTCACAAGAGCTACCCAACAATCGACGAAGCAAAGCAAACCCTCGAGGAATCAAGCAAAAAAAATAAAGTGATCAAAAATTCATTCAAGGATCGCCTACTTCTCGGCGGCGGAGGAAGTATGCAACCAACAATAAAAATGACACCCATTTGAAAAATCCCAACCATCGCAACAATTACTGGAACAAAGGAGGTACAAGACCAAATAAAACCTACCCTTAAAAAGTTCATCGAAAATTTTGAGGAAATAAATACCTACCCAGAAAATACCAAATACAAACACATCTACCAAAAAAACCATCAGGGTCGAGACCCAAAAACTATTGTCCTACCGGAAGCAAGCCCAATAACCACCATAAACCTACAAGCTATGGACTTATCAAAACACTATACATCCAAAATCCCGAACAACAACTAAAATATTTTTCCCAAGGCCTTAAAACAGTTGTTTCCCGGTACTTTACCAGATACGCCAAAAATAAAGAAGTATTTATGCAGTATTACAGCAATTATCCAGAGTTTCAAGTAACAGAAACAGGAGAAACATGAGTCAGTTGTCCGGCATCAAAAGTAATTATCATGGGAATAAGCAATGGACAATACCCAACAAAGGACAATCCAAAAAATATTTAATACACCAGCGAAGACAGAATTCGAGTAGACGCCGAGCTAACAATCGGAATGCTCAGAAAAATCTTTTACATAAGCAACAATCACCGCCTTAATTATAAAAGTGATTCGACGTTATTACTCACCAGAGCAACCAAAGAAACAACAACTAAAGAAGACACAAGCCCATTCGTTTTCAGGATATGGGACAACACTTTTATTAAATGTCCAA